TCTGATCATTAAGGCCCCTACATTATCTTTTTTCGCTTAGTTCCCCAGTACCCAACCTTTAAACTTTTTAGGTTCTTATAATTTAGTGGTAATCTGAAAGTTTAACCGTTTATTTCCCTGGCTTATTGGGGAAGTAAGTTCGGTCCTAGGAACACTTAAGGCGGTGGATCCTTCAGCACCCAGCAAGCATCCCAGGATTTCATTTCGTCACCGACCTCTCCACAGAAGAGCGAGGCAGGTAGATGGAAAAAGCGCCTGTAATACTTATAAGATCGGGGGACTTCCGATGTGGTGTTTGTAAGTACGGTTTTTCAGGGTGGTTTTGCTGTTATTGGGGCCTTTTTGGGTTTTTATCGGGTAGTAATGAGCAGGGCGGGTAGTAAGTCAGGTTTCCAGGTAAGGTATCTATGATTGTAATTGCTTATAAGGCTTACAACTCATAACCTCAGGCAAGGTATTTGCAGACCACTTACGAAGTCCGCAGATCCTCCCTTGATCCTCCATTTTGTTACGTCAGCTGACCAGAGAGCCCACTATGCCTTAATTGCGGAAGGCTTAGTATCCTAAACCCCAAACCCCCCTAAGGGGTCTTGTGCTCTCTAGGTAACCCGGCGGGCCTAAGTACTCAAACATTGGGTAATTGGGCTGCAAGGGCTTCTCTATATGTTGTTCCTGTGGGACCTAAGCAGGATCCTTTCTAACTCAATAGTGGAGTCAAGTGACCTTTACGCCTTGTTGGACTTCCATGACCCTTTCATAGTCTCAAAGTTAGCCTTTACTTGCCTAGGAAACTGGACAAGTGGATTAAGATTTTTTTTGCGACTACTTTGCAAAGGGACCCTGAAACAGGAGTCCTATAAATACAGGTGTACAGCTTCCACGCTGAACCCTAAACCTTATAGCAACCCTAAAGCCCTAGAACCTGTATGAGCCTCTACTTGGAGGGTCACGGGTAGTTATAAGTAGGGTTATAAGTCCCCTTCATGATTATAGTTACTCTACTTAAAACCCCACTTATAACTACCCATGAACCTCCAAGTACATTATGGTTATGGTCCTTAAACCCTAAACCCTAAACCCTAAACCCTAAACCTTAAACCCCTAAATGGTCCTTCAGGTGTACGGAGGCATCCCTGAGTTCGACGAAAGTGATCGCCGCCGGGTTGCATCGTTTCTGCGAGCATGGGCTCCGCAAGAGTCTGGCGTAGTCTTTGGTTTTAGGGTTTAGGGTTTGCAAGGTGCTATCTCGTTTCACAGGGTTTCATTGGGTTTTAGAGGGTTTTTCGAGCTGTTTTAGCCTGGCTTGTCATACCATGCGTCGTGCTGCTTGTGCTACGAGAGCTAAGATTGATGCAGCTCGCGCGTTGCATAGTGCTGTGTTCGGAATGGCCATGCAATGATAAGAAGAAGGTGATACAGAAGGTGATGATGATGACGACGATGATGGTGATGATGAAACCACCATGACTGCCATCCTTTTTAGTGTTGAAGCACTTCTTCTTGTTTCTAGAACAGCGATGACCAGCTATCATTGAAATTGCCTACTGGTTTTTCACCTGCACTGTTCTCTACCCTCCCTAAGCCCTGAACCCTGAGCCTCAAACCCTAGCCCATCCTGTCCCGTAAACTAAACCCTACACCCTACACCCTAAACCCTAAACCCTAAACCTTAAACCTTAAACCCTAAACCTTAAACCCTAAACCCTGAACCCTAAACCCTGAACTGCCGAGTCTTGAGCCCGGAAGATGCGCCCTTTCGTTGCATCTGCGGCTACACCTCCTTCTCGCAGCTGTTGTTCGAGGTGGGAGTTTAGGGGTGCACGGTTTAGAGGTTTAGGGTTTTGAGTTTTGGGGTTCGGGTTCAGGGCTCAGTGTTGAGTGTCTGAGTTTTAGGGTTTAGGGTTTTATGGATGGTTTAAGGCTTTCGGCTTTACAGTAGAAGCAGGTTTCGGTTTTTGAGGTCTTGGGTTTTAAATATTCTTTCATTTTCGTTTCCGCAGGTACGTGATGCTCTTCTGACTGCTAGCAGCTAGCAGATAGTTGTCGCTTTAAGGTTTCGGGGTTCAGGGCTTAGTGTTCAGGGCCTAGGCTCGCAGCAAATCTGGTGTGATGTTCGGCTGTTGGTTTCTGGTGTGCATGTTCTAAAATTACTCGCGACAGCCCTAGGTTTGCCTAAACTCGAATACTAACCCTAAGCCCTAAATCCTAAACCCTAAACCCGGAACCCTAAACCTTAAACCTTAAACCCTAAACCTTAAACCTTAAACCCTAAAGCAACCCTACGCCCTAAACTAAGCACAAGGCCCCAAAGGTCTGAATGTAACCCTTCCTCGACCCTAAGGCCCTTCCTTGCGGAGAGGGCCTTGGGGTTTAGTTAGGGTCGAGGGTTTGGGGGGTTTGGGGGTTTTGGGGGTTTGGGGGTTTGGTTGAGGGTTTTGGGGGTTTAGGGGTTTAGGGTTTAGGGGTTCAGGGTTTTTGGTTCAGGGTTTAGGGTTTTGGGTATGGCCGTCTAGGGCTAGCAACTGAGCCGAGCAAGTCGCATTGGCTTCTTTGTTAGCCATGAGAGTTTGGCACGTTTTGGTTAAGGGCTGAAGGGGTTAGGATTTGGGGTAGTTCGCAGGCGCAGGGTATGGCTGAGTGGTAGAGTTGATTACGGTATCCTGACATGGAATGGCAGGGGAGGTATGTACCCTAGGAATCCTTTCCCTAGTACTCGTAAAGTTCCAGTACAGTTCCCGAGGGGTCCTTCATATCCTCCCCCCACACCACACTCTAAACCCTAAACCCTAAACCCTAAACCCTAAACCCCTAAACCCTAAACCCTAAACCCTAAACCCTAAACCCTATCCTGCAAGTGGATGTTTTTGGGGGGTTATGGCCCTAAGCTTTTGAGCCAGAACCTCGAAAGCTAAGGGTTCTGGGAGTTCTGGGCCTGAACCCTTATGGTAACCCTTAAGGAGCCCTTTAAAGGAACCCCCAACTATGACCATGATAGACCCCTTTTAAGGAACCCTTAACTAACCCTTACAGAGCCCTTGAAAGGAGCCCTGACAGGAAGCCCGTTCTCAATTCTTAACACTCTCCGGGTCCCGGCTCAGTGCCAGGACCACGATTGCAAATTTGCAGCTCGCCAAGATTCTGGGTCTGAGGGTCTGGGGGTCTTCAAGGCTTTTCCTAAGGCTTTAGAGAACCTTTGCACTGACCATCCGGAAGGTATAATGAGGAAGGGACATCTATACTGCAACGTCCCCTTGCGGTCGTTCTCTTTCAACTTTCCGCCTCCTATGATTTCAGGCATCCTGTTATCAGTCGACTGTCCATTCGCTTTCTCGCGGTCACTTCATGCACTCGAACAAAGCACATACGACAAGGTACTTTCCTCCGTTGTGAGATTGGACGTGCGAGTGAAGGCGTCTAAACTTAAAATGAAATAGTGCTTCTTTGGTTTTATTGCAATTCATGCGTTCACTTCGCTTCACTTGCAATTACTTGAAGATCCTTGTGACGGAGGGGCGATGTGAAGATCGTTAATGCGATGATAAGGGCGGGCGAATGAACAAAGAGAAAGAGGACGCAATAAGCGAGTTAAATATCGAGCCAAAACACACAAAACAACGTGTAACAATGAGCTTGACTCAACATTCCAAAAAGCCATTAAACCGAATCTTGTGGCACGAGCTTCTACTGTAGTAAGCACAAAGATCCTGAGCTAAGTTAACAGATAGAAGCGCGCAGAGGTGTGAAGCTCATTGAATTGGGACCCTTGGCACGGTAACTGGCACGTCGAACAAAACCTCGTGCTTCCCCTGGAGCCGAGGTGCCTGTAGCTTCCACTGCAAGTATCGGACAGCCGTCTTCATCTCGTTTGATGACAATGCCCGGTTCCAGGTTATCACCTGACAAAGGTCTTTCATGGGTCCCAGTGCATGTCTTGTTAGATACTCAAGGAGAGTCTAATCCTAAACCCCAATCCCTAAACCCCAAACCCTAAACTCTAAACCCCAAACCCTCAACTAAACCCTAAACCTCAAACCCTAAACCCGCCCATCAACTTCAGGAGCCTCCATGATGGCAAAGTCGGAGTTCTCCCCTCCATGCTTGCCTGCATTGACCATGAGATGATCCTCAAGGTTCTTGTTGCCTCAGCTGGGCTTAGGGTTTAGGGTTTAGGGATCAAGATTAATTAATTATGGAACAACTCTGAAAACTAGGGCGAGTAGTCCATGACGTGCTGGCGGGGGAGATCAGGCTAGCACGTCAAGATCACAAATTGAGCCACAAAGGCTTGCACTACTCAACCGCAACGTTCCTGCGGCTTTGCTCACATCCCAAACAGACTTCTCAAAACCCGGGCGCCGTATAAAACCTCAAGACAAGTGAGATCCTTCCTTAGGGGATTGCCCTGACTCTTGAGCAAGGTTGCGGTTCTTCGTGGCCACGTTGGACAGGCCGCTGTAGACGCGTTTTGCCTCATGGCGAGCTGGACTCGCGTCTTTTTGGCGTCTGGAGTTCTTTGGGCAGTCCCTGAATTATAAACCTGATCTTTGTTTAGGTTCCGACTCTCACACTCGCAACAAAGGTTTAGAGATTAGGGAGACTACCAAGCACAGAAGTATTCATGAGCGAAAGACACATGGAACTGCAGTTGAAACCCCATTTCGGTAGGCCAGGATAAGGCTCAACGTATCAAAAGCTGGTTCCGCCAAAACGAAGCACATTCTTGATAAACTGTTTAGGGTTTAGGGTTTAGGATTTACGGTATTGATAAACATTGAAGATACCCCACAAGATGTTGAGTTCAGGCATTTCACGGGATCGGGACGACTTCCCGACGATCTCCTGCCCGAGCTGCTTCATTGTAGCAAACCTCGTTCCATGATGAAGTGCCGACAGCAGCGGTCCACTCCCCCGACGCCTAATTCCTTAAGGACATCTTAAGGACCGTGAGCCGTTGTATGCCCAACGGCACAAGCAAGAGTCTGAATCCTCTTCAGTCATTGACCCTTTTGCAACGGCCTTGTCAGATCTCGACCGGACTGATAGCCCACAGCAGTGACTTCAGTCATTGACCCTAAACCCTAAACCCTAAACCCTAAACCCCTAAACCCCTAAACCCCTAAACCCTAAACCCTAAACCCTAAACCCTAAACCCTAAACCCTAAAACCCATCCACCCCCACCTCCCGGCCTTGTTGCTGCCACACATCACCAGCCAGCTCAAGTCCTTCTTGTCTCTCGACTTGTCTGTCACCCATTCATCGTAATGCGCAACCTTGGCCAGGGTGTTTGGGCTTAAGATCCCACCTTCTGGGTGCGGGTCCTGCAGCACAATTCCCCCCCCTTCATGTTAACATCCCTCGAAATAGGGGCCCTTGAAATCTGGTTTGCTAGATTGGGGGGAAACTTGGGGGTATAATTAGGGACACGTCGGTGCACATTGCAGGTTGCTTGGCGTCTGGCTTAGGGTTTCCACTTGTCACATCTCATTTTTCAGGACGCGGGTTCTTGAGGCAGCATGGGGGGAGAGGCGCGTAGGAGTCTACGGTGGCAAGAAGGACACGGCCAAGAACAACCATGTGCCCAAGGAGTTGGGATAGCAGGAAGGCTGCTGCCGATGTAGGTTTCTGGCTCCTAACCTAAACCCTAAACCCTAAACCCTAAGAACAAGCTGGCTCCAGGCGGCTCCGACACTCCCTGAGTGATGCCCATGGAGGATATTGTATTTCTTGCCTGTGCGGGAGAGCATGGGGCAAGTTTCTCACAGTGCTGCTTCATGCCATTCAAAGTGGCTTGTATGGGATTCTAGATTCCACATTGATTTTACATGATTCTACCATCCCCTTTCTTGCGGTACCCTCAGACAGGTCCGAAGGGCAGCTGACATTCTTTTGGCAATGAAACTGATGCAGACTCAAAACTTTGAAACTTTTAGGCTTCACATGAATCTTGAGATGTCTTGAGCATCTTGACTATTGACTACCTGTACTGATTAATCCCTTCCCGAATACCAAGCCCTAAGCCCTAATTGTAAATATCACTTTCCCCAGACACCCTCGGCACCCAGCCCACTACTAAACCTGTTTGAAAATTAGTGAAGGGGGGGGGGGGGTTGAGGGCCCTCGCCCTTGAGTTGAGCCATTAGGGTTTTCAGTAAGGGTTTAGGGCTGTAGGCTCAGAGGGGCTTTCAGGGCGATGGGTCGCAGTCACTACCACATCTCTCTCGTGTTCGGCGTTGGGGGTGAATAATAGTGTGTAATGTTTAAGGTATCTCTTTGTCTATCTCGCTGTGTAGGTCTAAGGATTTAGGTCCCCTTAAGTTCCAAATATGTTCCGGCCGACGGGAATTTTAGAACTACGGGGTGTTAGTATTTGGGGGAAGCGATTAAACCCGACAACTGCAAGGTCACTTACAATTCTGATTGGAATTCGATCGACACAGTCTTTTTGCCCAGTTTCTGATATCTGTAGGTGCCCGCACAGGGTCCACATATGGACCATAAGTCCCATGTCTTTAGATTGTTAAGGGGCGCTTCGTGACTGTAAGAAGCAAATGAAAGTGACAGGCGCCCCCCCCCAGTGCCCCCAGCCTTGAAAGATGCGCCCCATCTTGCCGCCTGTGTACCTTTTCTTGCTTAAGGCCAGCTGCCGGAAAAAGGAGGAAGTAGGGCGCTCGGATGCAGTTCGGAGTTAGAAGTACCTTCCAAAACCCATTTTTTGTAGGTTCTTATTATACACCCTAATATGGGATTTATAGGGACCCTACAAAAAAGTAGGTGTTGGGTTCTCAAGGTAGGGTGCCTCTCTCATGCGCTCTCTCTGTGGAAGCGGAAAACGGCCACTCCCTGCACCTGGGTTCTGATTCCTGCAGGGTGGCCTGCTCACGGAACACAACGTCCATGTTTTCTTCAGGACCTTTCCGAAAGTGAAGTCGTCATTTTCGCCGCCTGCCGGGCGTGCATCCGTCCCTTCGGCTTCGAATTTGAGTCCGGGTGCTCTGAACCTAAAGTGTGCCTCAACGCCAATGACTCAGCTCAAGTGCAGGCAAGGCTAATGATTCAAATGTACTGCCACTCTGCTACGACCTGTCTTGGATCACTACTTGGTACGAGTACTAGAAACTTTCTACCTTCTCTCCTGACCTCAACTGCAGCTCAACATGTGCAAGTATTCATGGCAAGGATGCCTTCTGCTGCAACATCTCGAAATTCAACGTAGGCTTGACTTTGGCACTATGTCAACCTTTTGGGCCTTTGGTACAATAAACTCTTTTGAGCCCCGAACTAAAGCCCCAATCCAAGCAGCAAGGGTGTTTTCTTTGTTGCGGGTGCTTTTTTTCTGTGGGTGCGGGGGGCTTCTTTTTTGCCGCTGTGGGTGAGGGAACACGTTGTTCTTGCTTTGGGGGAACGTTTTTGGCTTTGTTGTGCGTGCGGTGCAGAGGGGGGCTTCTTTTTGCTGGGTACGGTGGAGCGCTTTGTTTTTTTGCTGCGGGTGCCGGGGGGCGTGTTGTTGTGCTTGCTGCGGGGGCGTAGTTTTTTGCTGAACAAAAACACAACACGGGCTTCCAAATATCCAAGGCCCCTAAACCCTCAACCCCAAACCTTGACTAACCCCATTCCGAATACAGGGGCCTTAATATTCTTTAATAGATAGAAAAAGGTGTTGGGGTATATTAAACTGCAATTAACATAAGGAACCCCCAAAACCGAATTCTAACTATTGGGGCCTCTGCATTACACCCTTTTTGCAAACCTTATAAACCCTAAACCCTAGTACAGACCCCCCAACTACCCTCTAATAGACCCTAAGTACCCACTATTCAGAGCCATAAGGGCTCCATTAAAGGGCCCTTGGGGGGTCCTGGAAACAGCCCCCCCTAATTTCGCCCTAATCCTAAACCTTGTAAAACCCTAAACCCTAAACC